CCTCTGGGGTTGTTCTTTTTTTTTTTTTTTTTTTTTTTTTTTTTTTTTTTTTGAAGCAACGCTTTTGTAAAAAGCTCGTTCTGCACCTGGCCAGGAGCAGGATATCCTGGAATTCCAGCTGACGTCCCTCCTCAGCTATTGTGCAAATACAGGTGTATAAAGAGTCCTCACCTCGCTCTGGCCACAGCGGAGACCCTGCAACAAGGACGCGCTCACGTCGAAGCAGCAGCCTGGTGAGAGATCAGTTCCAGGTAAATGGCTTTTTATGCGACCGTCTGCTCTCTGGGGAGGACAGGGCTCCTCTTCTCTACTAGGGTGCCTGTTCTCTGGGGCTGTTTGGGTTTTTGTTTTGTTTTGTTTTTTGCCAGGTATTGCTGATGGTTATTACAGCCCTAAAGAGTAGCCAGTTCAGGCCTCTAGATGGAAATGGCCTGACTTGCATTGCTACTAGGTGATCAAATCCTCCCCCCATCAAAATTAACCAGATGGGCATGATCAATTCTTGACTGAAAATATAGGCCGCTTTGTAGTAAACTGAGCAGAGGTGCTGTTTTACTGTAAACAAATGCATCCTCTTTTCTTGTGGAGGTTCAAGCGGCTGGAAGAACACTCAGAATCACTACAGAGCCTTCCTATGTCTTTGCTGTGACACCTTGCAGCTTTAACAGGCAGATTAGTATTTCCTGGGCCTTTCTCCCCGAGCTTTGGGTTGTTAGTCGAGCTCTGCTTGCCTGAGCTGATCCTTCCTCTCACAGTTGTTGCCAGCCAGGAACATGCGCTCCTTTCTGATACTCGGCTCCTTCCTTCTCTGCAATGGCTTAATGGAGGCTGCACAGAGAAAGGTCCAGGAGCTCCCTGCTGAAGAGGAAGAGGAGGAAGGTCCTGCCCCAATACGGACCCCGCAGACTCTGTCTCGAGGTGAGTGAGGCTGTCCCAAGGAACCAGCATTTCCTGAGTATCATCCATGGCAGTGTTTAGTGGGTGCTTCCACCCCTATATCCAGGCAGGCAAATCTCTGAGTGCAGTGGCTGGAACATCTCCCTGGATTCCCATGCAGAAGGAAGTGCCACCGTGGCCAAGAGCACTGGTGCAGTCAGCAGAAGCCCTCACACCCTGTACTCGGGAGCAAGTGCAGGTGCTTTGCTCCAAACCTGTGCTGGGGACACAGCCAAGAGCCAGACTAGCCCCCTGGCTGCCCCTTCTGCTCTTCAGGAGCCAGCCAGGAGGCAGCCAGAGCAGCGGCCTCTTCCCTGGCAGGGCACGCTGAGTGGGCAGGCAGCTGTAGGCACAGAATCAGCTCCACTCCTCTGCTGCCCTCCTTGCTGCCAGCGTGATGGGACAGGCACAGACAGCAGGTGTGTCCTCCTCCTCCTCCTCCTCCCAGGGAGTCCTGCAGGCGCTACAGGGCACAGGCCCCTCGGGTGGGACTTGAGATGCCATGAAGCCGTATCAGTGCAACAGCAACCTGACTGGGCTCTTAGGAAAGATGGATGAGTTCGAGAAGAACTCCAGCCTTCTGCCTTTCAGGGGATGGAAATACCTCTCCATAATCCTTGTCAATCACTTGAACTGTAGGAAGGTTGGGATTTCATTCCCCTTCCCCATCATGTGTGTTTTTGCACATTTCTGCTCCTGAGGCTCCTGGTACCCAAAAACACCTAGAAGGCCTAAAAACCCTGCGAGAAGGCAACCAGTTTATGCTGCCCACATGCCACTCGGCAGAGTACCCTTATCCCTCCCAAAAAAGAAAACTAACCAAGGCCCCCTCTCAACAGGCTGGGGAGATGAAATCGAATGGGTGCAGACTTACGAAGAAGGTTTAGCAAGATCAAGACACAGGTAAACCTCAGTTCCTGTTACGCTGGCTCATAGATTGAGGTGAGGACATTAGCTGTGTTCATCTCATAGCTTTTTTTTAGCTCTGTGTATGATCATGTAAAGCAGAGAAGGTCCTAGCATGATGCTCGAGTTGTGGACTATGCTTTGTAAGCAGTGCTTATCAATACTGTACAGAAGCTGAACAATACTGCTTCAAAGATGCTCACTAGCATCTTTTAGGATTCTGTCATACCTCTCCACATCCTTTCTTTCTTGGTGCCCTAGTTGATCTTTTAGCAGTGTTTTTAAGAGTCTTTAGAGCATCCTGGTGGCTTGATGGTTTGCAAGGGATGTCTGTAAAAGGTCTGACTTGCTTTCCCTCTTCTTTCCTGCAATGTTGTTTCAGCAAGAAGCCCCTGATGGTCATTCACCATCTGGAAGAGTGTCCTTACAGCCAAGGTGAGCAAAGCAAATCTTTCCAAACAATCCGGTCATCGAACCCTGTCACCACTCATTCCCTATGGAGCACTTGGTGTGAAACCTTCCCAGAACAGGCAGGGCCAGATGCTGCTCAATAAAGTCAAACCACATGCATCCTCCACTGCAATGGAAATACCTCAGTACATCAGCATTTCAGCTTCTCTTTTGTGTTTTCCTTTACTAAAGCCAAGTCCTCCAACCTTTGTGTGACGTGTGCTTGTCAAAAAGTTTTGTTGGTGCACCCTGGTGGGTTTAGGATCCATAAAAGATGCTGAAAAACCCTGAAAAGCAATGATGCAGGCTTCCCTACCCCTCTCCCACACCCCAAAAACATATTTCTCTTTCTTTTAGCTTTAAAGGCAGCTTTTGCTTCTAGCAGAGAGATTCAGCAGATGGCTAAGGAAGACTTTATCATGCTAAATCTGGTGGTAAGTTTGAATTTAAAATAATAATCTACATGTTTATTGTAGAGTGGGATAAACCATCTTAAAATCTGGAATCATATATATACATACACACACACACACTTTTTTAAACCCTCCTGGGGATACACAATATGATTTCAAAACATCAGCATGGTTACTCCTTGGAGGGAGGCCAGAGACACTTCCATACATGCACACACGCATGCACATCAGTATGGGAATACAATTTTGTGCTCTCCAACCACAGGCAAAATTCTAATATGAGCAAAAAAACCCAAGCAAACAAACAGTCATCAGGCTTTCCAAGTTACACACATGGGATATCTATCCCCTGTCCCAGCTTCTTGCATGGGACCAAAATCTTTGGTTGGTGGCAGACGGTTCTGCAAGGCAAGGTAAGCTTGGCTACATACTAAGGCAAGTGCAGCTGATGGAGCCCCTTTCTAGCACCACACAGTGCTTTGAGAGGTGCCCCTCACCGTGAGCCTGTGCAACTCCAACAGCACTCCAGCAGCGACGACAACCTGGCACCCGACGGCCACTACGTCCCTCGCATCCTCTTTGTTGGTAAGTCCCTGCAGTTGGGACAACAGCCTGAACAAAACCGCCAGCTGGTGGCATTTTTTTTCCTGTATGGTCCCCATTGAATCCATGTTGCTCCAACTAATACTCTTTTGAACACCTTACACTGTAGGAATAATAATAAAGACCTTCAAAAAGGGAAATCTTAACTGGAGATAACTAAATTGGGCCTTGTACTCCGAGCACGTGCTCGAACAACTGATAAACACTTCACCCAACGACAGAAAAAAGGTTCCCTTATGAACCATAAGCAACAGCTATGGGCAAATCCTCCACCAAACTGTTGGGTAGGAACAGAACAAAGGCTCATTCTCCTGAGCCACCACACCAAGACCCTACATAGTCTTCTCATGGTGGGTTTCAGAAGTAGACTTCCTTCATTAAAAGAACAGCTACTGAGTCTCATGCTTCAAAAATGTATCTTTCCAGCCATAAAGAGACCAGCAAACACCATTTTCAAACCTCACTATTTTACTTCCCACAAAATTAACCACCTCTTTCCCACCCCACAAACTCTGTATCACTAATAACTCAAACTTTTTTTTTCCCCCTCCCTCAAGATCCTTCCATGACAGTGCGAGCTGATATAACTGGCAAATATGGGAACAGGATGTACACCTATGAACCACAAGATATTTCAACCTGTGAGTGAAATGGGTACTAAACTGATTTTTTTTTAGCCATCTCAAGTTTATAGAAAACAAATATGGATAAAGGAACAGGGCACAGGAGAATCTTTAGAAATGTCACTATCTGTTTCTGCCACAAAGTCTGCTCACAGCACTTAATTCACACAAATATGAATGAAGTTAGAATGCAAGTACCCTCTGGGGGAAAAATAAAATAAATGCCAAATATTTCTGAAAAATGAGGCTGTGAACCATAGGAAATTATCCTCCGTGTCTGAACCCCTGAGGGCTGCCAGGAAGCTGGTGTTTCCAAATGTGGTGCAAGTTTGGCCCCCAAACCTCAAGCTGCTTCTGTTCAAAGTATTTTCAGACTCCAGCATACTGCTGTTGCCCTTCATAATCTGAAACAACTGAGCCACTGAGGTGGTTTCCAGTTGCAATACTTCTGAGCCTAGGGGTAAATATAAAGCTTAAATAAATAATCCATGAATACTGTAATTAGCTCCTAAGGGTTAGTGCCTCTGCTCTCCCCTCTCTTGCCTGCCCACTTCAGTAACAGGAATGGTAACTTTTGAGGCCTTGAGCCCCAGATCACAACAAAATGAAATGAGGCAGATTCAAAAGCTGTGGGGCAAAGAGGAGAACAAACCCATTTCCATGGGCAAACCAGGTACAGCATTGCTATTCAGGTCACAGTCTTCCTCCTCTAGTTCTTGCACTCCAGACTTTTTTCTGATACCCTTTGAACCTCATGGTAACACTGGTGTTTTCTCTGCAGTGATTGAAAACATGAGGCAAGCAAAGGCCCTTCTCCACACAGAGCTCTGAGCAGCGGGCGCCTCCGATCCGCACCTGGGAATGCTGGAAAACCCAGTAATGGCCAAGCCAGGATGGGTGCTGCGTCTTTGTCCACTCCCTCAGAGGCCTCCTTAGAAAAAAAAAAAAAAAAAAAACACCACTAGGAGAACTCTGTGCAGCCCATGATACAGGGACTGATGCACTGCCTGGTCATTTTTCAAACCAGCAATTTATTTTAATGACTTTATGATTATTATTGATGCACAAGAACATTCCTTGCTTGTGTTGACAAACTGTTCTTTACCGCAATTAGCATAATTTTGGAAAGGATCAAATACAGCAGCTTAATTGCAGGGCTCGATGCTTACATTATAAACACATTTTGTCTTGTGTGTGCCTAAACTAGATTGTACTTGTTGCAGTCAATTTTCTACATTTTTTCTTCCCCCAAGCCACAGATCTTTTAGTTATGTTTTCTGCTTCCCACAAGCAAGCAGAAGCAGCAAACACAACCCAGCAACTGAGTGCATCTCTCAATTGCTTTCAAATGACATCCATGAAGAAACCAGGAGGATTATAATGGCTTCTTTGGGGCATTTCATTATGAACCACAGCCTGGGATTATTCTATTTGGGCCTGCTTATTATATCCTTATTTTAACTTTTCTATCATCTAGTTTATACTTTTATTTTACTTTTTTAAATAGAAATCTAGATTAACCATACCTTCACTGTTTTTACATAGAATTTGTAGAGTAAGAAACAAAATCATGCAACCATAATATAAATTAAGGAACACAGATTTTATGTCCCAGCTTTTGTACCTTCATTGCTTTGTGAATTACCAGTTCACTAATATGTATTTCAGAAATGTCTTATTTTTATTAAAAGCTTTTGCTGTGTAATCCAGAACAACAGAAATAAAGCACTGATGTATTTCCTTTGCAATTAACTTGATTTCATGTTATTTTGTGTACAGCGCCCTGGTCACCAAATTGATAATCTGCAAATCCTGTGTCTCACCATCAGCCTTTGAACAAATTTCATTCTGCTGCCAGCCATGCAAACTAAGTCTGATCTGAAAAGTCAAAGATTCATAAATCATTACTAAAAAAATGATTCCTTAGTCAGAATTTAGACAGTTCTTTTTACCAAAGACAGATTCTCTGGCTATAGTTTGTGGCTACAGGCATATTGTTTCTATGGCAGTATCGTTAAATTTTCTACTATAAGACATCCATTAAGGAGCCCAAAGAAGTATCAGTTGAGCAGCAACACTTTTGGCCATCCTGAGCCTGTCATGCAAAACCGAAACAGAACCTGTCCATGCGCTAAGCAGCCACCAGAGACTAGGGGTGGAAGGAGGGTTCAGCTCCACTAAGCATTAAAAACACAGGTAGAATTCACAGAAGCCACCCAGGAGCTGTTTTATAACCACAAGCTGCTACATATAAGTGGGTCTGCTTCCTGAATTCCCTTCATTTTTTTTTCTCTTTATTAAGGGCAATAATAGTTAAAGTGCAGAAGGGAGCCGCGGGGGTGGCCAACAGGAAGGGGAGTCGGATGGGGCAGCAGAAGCCCACAGCCACCTCAGCAGCTCCTGTACTGCAGCACCAAGGACTGGGCGCACGCAGAAACACGCAGTGCTACCCTGCGAGCGCCAGCAAAAAGGGAACTAAAGAGGAATTTGACTAACAGACCTGTGGCTGACGGGGCCCAAAACACGGTAGTCCCTGGAGGTGGGGACGCCAGCGGGCTCGGCATGGGGACGACGCTGCCCGAGGGGGACAGGCGGCAGGAAGCCCCGCGCGCAGCCGGCAGCTGCGATGCACAGAACCAGCAGAACCAGCAGGACACATGAGCACTCGCTGCTGTGAAACCTGTCAGCAAGGAAGCACGTAGCGGGGCCTAAGGCCAGTTTTGTCCTTTCCCCCCTTATTTAATTCTTCCCAATGATGAGAAAGGAAATTTTTAGCAAAGCAGGTGTTGGATCCTTACTGATCACAGTCCGAATACAGCCATTTCAATCCAATTCTACGATTCACTCAAAGTTTAAGGAAGCTTTAAAAAAAGCAGTTTTTGAAACGCAAAACACTTGTTACCCCAGAAGCTGATACTGTGTCTTTCAGCAAGAAACCCACAATCTCGCACCCTATTTCCTATTTCCCTAAGATACTCGGAGAAACTTCTCCAAATGTAAAACTCCAAGCGTACAACTGAGGTTGAGCCCCATCCAGTGTTGGAAAATAATCTACCCCCTTCCCAACCAACGTACATCAGTCAGCCATGTACAGACCAACCAAATAGACATATAAAATTGACTCTTTATTTTGTGAAGTACACTTGAAAAATAAAGATGAAAGCTTTTTCCTGGCCTTGGAATATAACCATAATAAACTGTGGAATCACAAAGACTCCTTTTTAAAAAGGTATTCCCTCTCCCCCCATTTTTAACACTTTCATTGTGGAGTGGTCCACAATAATTCTAAGAAAAAAATACACATTTTGAGCCAACATTAGAAATAATTCAATATTGGTTCAGTGCAGGCACTGCTACATCACACTTCAACAAAGGCACATACTAAAATCCCTACTTCAGGGCTTGGAATCTGTATTTCGATTTCTCCAAACTTCTTGTTTTCAGGAACAGATCAGAGCAGGTGAGGAAAGAAAAAGCATCAAGCTCAGTACAGCTGTCCAGAATGGGATCTGAGGAGTTAAAGTGACAGCAAAGTTCACTACAGTAATTTGCAAACACAAAGAGTCCTTATTTACCTTGGTAATCAGCAGGTGTGATAACGTCTGCGAGCTTCTTGGGCAGAACAACTCCTGGTAAAAGGGAAGAAGGCTGTGCAAAATAAGCCAGGGAGGGAGAAGAAATGGCTGCCCTCACCTCAGTCAAAGGAAAAAAAAATCCGTCCATAGAACAACGTTTGTATTATTTAAGTAAAAACTAAGACCAAAAGAGTTAGGAAATGATATCCCCTTCCTGGCCGAATCAGTCTAGGAAATCACAAACCAACCTGCTACATTTTAAAAATATGTGAAATAATTAGTGTTCACAGGCTTCAATATAAGGAGATGCTTAGGTGCCTTTTTCTCCTCCTCTCTCTCTGTGCTATTTCTTTTAAAGCTGTCCAAAACAGCAGAGTAATTTTAAACTGTAAAGTTACATCACAGGATATCTGTAGTCTGTTGTATTGGCATTTTCTACAACTCCTACACATACATGAAGCCATTTACTATAGTCCTCCAAGGCTGTATGTATTTTGTTCACTCATTATTACAGTTTTAAAGGTATTCCAGCCTATGTTTCAAAAGGCAATTTGAACATTGCCTTACCCATTTCAAAATAGGTTTGCAAGCCATTTGTGCAATCAACAAGGCTTTGTAGTGTATCTGATAACAAACTTCAGCTGACTCAGGAATCAATTCCTGCAAGGTTCCAGAGGGAAAAGGCAAACACACTGCGTGTCACCAGCACTGTACTACTGCACTGAACATAGGAAAGGTAGAAGATAACACCTTATCGCTGTTTGAAGTCCAAATATAAGCAAAAAAACCCATTAAGAGCTCTGCTTAATGCTATTTATACTCCAAGAAAATTATGAACCTGATAGGAAACTAAGTTATGGTTAATCATGTACAGTGGGGAATGCCATTTAACTGCTGTAAATACTTGAGATGTTTAAATAAAGGTGATAAAAACATCAAGTTTTAGTAAACCTGATTCCCATCCTCAGTAAAGAAAAAAATGGTCTCCGATACTTGCACATGTTCTCAATCTTGAGATCCAATTCTGCAACGATTTGGTCAACATTTTACTTAACAGACAAAAACCTTTAATACTCAGTTCAGCTGGCATTCAACAACATACATCCCTTCTATTACAGAAGCTGCAAATCAACACCAAGATAAGCATTTTCTTGCTCTCTCAGATGTTTCAAAGGGTATTAAATCAGCTGAACAAATGAGAAGTGAAGGGAAATCCTCTGAATAGGAAGACTGAAAATAAATACAAGCCTTTTTTACCGAGTCAAACAGAACCCACCTAAGGCTAGCCTTCAGATCTCCCTTTTTTTCCTAATCTTGTTGTTAATAAAGGTTGTGGACAATCAAAAAGCACTAGTAACTTTGAAATCCAAGGCTACTGCACTTACGTTCCTTATCACAAAATCATAGGTTCTCAGGTAGATTTAGGTCCTATAGAACTTGACAAGTTTTGAACTCATTCCTCTGTGGAGTCAATTTAGCAATACTTTGTCCAGGGACCACCACATGTCTTTCAAGACTGAAATCTGATTCAAGCTTCTACTGACTTATACATCAGACAGGAAATCATATTCTGGTATCCGTAGTGATTTCAGTAATGAGAGATGGAACAGTAACTGCTGAAAAACAAAAAAGTTTGACTATTAAAAAACGATAGAAAACTCTGTAGTGATGGTGCATTTTTTTTCTGATTAAAAAAAACGAGTGGTAACAAAACCGTCATTGAATATATTATTCAGTTTTCTCATGGATAAAGTGCATTTACCTAGCCTGAGAATAAGTACCACATGGATAAAGGGATGCTAAAGCACTTCATCAGAGAGATTAAATAAAAATCAGTCACCCTGAAAGCAAAATTCAGTCTGTCTCGGTGATTCTTGAGGCCACTTCAGGGAAGGCCATCCCTCTCGCCGGTCCATTTGAGGTACTCCATTCCAGCTGAGCCCATCGGCAGAACGCTCCGGCCAAGAAATGAGCTGCCTGCTGCTATCTGAAGACTCCAACATTGATTGAAAGAGCCACTTCTGGTTTACGAGGCTTAAGAGTCGCCTTTTCCTCAGATAAAATGTGGTTCTGTAAACGTTCGGCTTGTCGGCTATTAAAAAAGAAAGAAAGAAAGATGCCTAGTACTGGATTAAGCCCAAGCACTTGCAGCACGTGTCTGCTCGACTGAAACCTCATTTTCACCCAGGTGCAAGAACAACTTTGCAACCTCCCACTTGCATCCCATATAACACCCAGAGCGCCCATTTCTCATCTTGAGACAGTGCCAAACTGAGCATCGCAAGGTTAAAACAGAGGCTCAGCATAGGAACATGGCATGCACTTAAAAAAGGAAGTTTCTGAATTGCTTTTATCAGTGTGAATACTTCCTTTTGCACTACTGGGATTGTGTGCTCTAAGGGCATCCTGCTATCACTGTGCTAAAGAGTTATCCAGGTAACGAGTTACTGTGAAAAGCAGAGAAAAACAAAACAAAAACATACACAAACAAAAACAACCACCTTGAATATTTCAAAAGAAAAACACATGTAAGTATTCACTACCTTTTCTTCTTTTCTAATGCCAGTTGCCTTTGTTTCTCTTTTCCAACATCATCTCTCTCTGTGCTGAAGTCCTTTGTGTCATCAAGGAGAAGATTCTGTTGTCAAAAAGGATCAACTGCATTAGTGCATTTTCATACCTTGTTCTTGGATTTTATTCTCACTTGGAAAACACAGTTTATAACACAAGGACAAAAAAGAATCCAGTTTCATCTGGAGAGTGTTTGAGCACAGACTAAAAAATGACTTTGCACTGGCTAAGTGAGAGCTGCACAAGCACCTCTGAGTATTGCCCTCTAGTGCCTGCAGCAGGATCTAAGGGTGAAAGTATCACATTTCCACGAGGCTGGTTAAGATCAAGAGAAAACGGGCAAAAAGCAGCAGCAGCAATTAGATATGTAACAGGATGCAGAGAAACAAGAAAGAAATGAAGACAGTGTAGAAGGGGATGTGCCTAAACCTAATCCAAAGTTCATTTACCTTCACTCCAATGATGTCTCCATCCTTCAGGTAATAAGGTGCTGACTGTAAACTCTCCTGTTTTTTCTTCCGTTTCCTCTTGGAAATTTGTTGCATCTGAATAATATCAAAGCACAAGATTCGTACATAGCAGATTTCAGAAAGCTGCTTAAATAGATATTTGCTGACATTTCCTTCTAAATATGTAGTGTCCCCACTAGCTGTTCTTCCATAAACAGAGAGGCTTATTGTAGAGAAAACTAAATACCCATTTTTATCATCAGCAGCTTTTTTTTGTCCTGCAGCTCACTTAAGTAAAGCAAAACAAACAAAACCAAAAAAACACCACCAAAACACATCTATCTTTCCGTTCCAGGTCATTATATTAAGCATAGTAAAGGACACTTCATGACTAGGTAACAGTGACCCTAGGGCACCCTGTGCAGTAAAGAGAAATGCTTTCCATTCTGATTTATCTCTGTTGATCTCCATCATTTCTTACCTAACTGCTATAGCTATAGGTTGAAAAATTCAATGAAATGTATACATTTGCATCACATCATATAGCAAATGATTCCATGCTTATGACCTGCAGGTAGCTTTTCAACCTGTAAAAGCCATTTCATTGTTATAAGAATGATGACATGAGAAGGATGAAGGAGTAGTTTATTCCCTGCTAACCAAAATTGCTCTCTTCCCCAAAATTTTTACTTGGTTAACTTGGCAGAACTGCAAGTACTGCTACTTTAAGTGATCAAAAACCTGTTGCCTTCACTATGATTTTGCAAAGACCTGAGCAGACCCCTAAGGAGATGAAGGAACTTCCCCCACTTTCCAAAATTCACCTCGCAGCTTATGTTGCAGGAAAATAAGGCTGTGCACTCAAACACATATCCTTGAAAACTGCAGCACAAACCAATACTTTTCTCAAAACAGCTGTTGGACTTGGTCATTCCAGATCTTACCCAGCTAGATATCAGCAGCCACTCAAATTTTTCAGGGAAGTATTTGGCTATTTCAATCTTATCTACAGGGAGACAATAGTGAGAAGCAACTCTTTGCCTCAGTGCCCAGGCTGTGCATTCTTTGGAGATATCCCAGACCAAATCTGTCGGGTGGTAGTAGTCCCTCTGTCCTGGTATGCCCATCCGTACTCGAAGCAACAGTTCATGGGGGCTGTCATGAAGAAGAAAATAAAAAATTTCTGTGAATCATCCTTTCAAAATCCCAAATTGCTACTCCTTTCCTCTCTCCCCCTATGAGCAGGGAATGAAAGCTCCCAAGTGTTCTTGCACAAAATGATATCTGTAATCCCAAGAGAAAGTATTTAAGTTAAAATATGCTAGTTTGAGTCTCATCTCAAACATACACAAATAGGCATTAAGTATCTTGAGCACTTACCTCAAATTCTCTTCTTTTTGCAGAGGTTCTATGCAGATTTCCACTTTGGCTCCCAGCTTATATTCACTGATAACAAAGCAAAGATTATACACACATTTTTCAGTTATATAACCTTATTTCAATTATCTGCAAAACCAAAGCAAGGCGTTACTGGAACCAAAACCAAAACTGAGTAAGGTTCATAAACTGCACTCAAACCACTTAAAACAAATCTTAGCCAAATAAGCATGTAATTATTGCTTCCACAGAACTTTAGTTGCAAGAGGTGCCCTACTACTGAAACATTAAGAGAGCTTTCTGTTGGTATTGACTCAACTGACTTTGTTTCTCCACCCATCTGTCTCACAGCCCAGTAAACCATCAGCCTGTCACTATATTACTTCACTGTTTAGTGAGGAACCTACTTGAGTTGCTGCTTGTTGCTCCGTAAGAGCTTGCCCAGGCGCTTACTTTCCACTGTCCAGGCTCTGAGAAATGCAGGTAGAGGAAAGATTTGCTCCTGGCAACACGGCAAAGTCATGGCCTGAAAAGAAAACAAGTATCTCTTCAATAATTTCAGCAGTCAGTCTGCTTGGAGAGATGAAGAAAATCACTTGACTGCTTCTCAGTGTAGTATTGAAACAATCAGAAATAGGGCAGGGTATTTAGACTTATTCTGTACCAGTGGTTGCTTGCAACTTACAGGTGGTGGCTATGATGAAGAAATTTTTTTCAACCTCAAAGCAAGTTGGATTTCACTCCCTCCCAATATTTCTCCATTTAACACAGCTCTCTGAAATATATATATCTTTTTTTTAAAAGATATTTTTAAACTGGAAGAATGAGGCTAACAAAATAATAACCACAACCTCCAGGCAAGTGGTGAGCAAGCTCCTTCACTCCTTTAACCAAACTATATTATTTACACGCTAAGATAAATTTCTATATTCATAAGATGCAAATGGTCATAGTACTTCACAGCAGCAGTTTGGCTGAGACTGAGAAACACAAG